TCTTCCTGAGTCCAGGTCCAGCACTCTATCCACTGCACCACCTAGTTGCTCTGTTTTTCCCTAGTTTAGAAAAATATATTAAATAAAATAGAACGGTGCAGACAACTGTCCTCATTAAATCCACAAACTTGAAGTGTAGGAAGATTTCATATCTCTGAAAATGGCTAATGGTGAAGAAAAAACCTGAATAATCTCTGCTTCAATGATGGCCAGAAGTCAGCATAAGTGGCACAGGAAGGACATTGGCCAATACCTTTATCCTAATTTGCATGACCTTGATCTTTGAACACTTTGTCTTACCCTCCAGGTCCACCTTCAACACTGAAAGTGCTTCCTTGTTTGAGCACTAGTAATGGGATATATTGTGCTAGGGAATGATAAAGTAAACTTTCAGAATTCTCTTCTCTGACAACATGTAATATACACACGTAGGAAAGTGACTCATCCTAAAAAAAAGTCAACTTGATTCATGTCCTCAAGCAAAGATGACTGTACGTCCACCCAAAGAGCTCTAGAAAAGAGTCATTCTCTGCCCTCTTCTCATAGTCTTCCCTCTCTACAGAAGAGAAAATGGATCTCCAGTCACAAACTATGCTCCATTTTTCTCAGCTTCAGGGAGCAACTACTGTGAGCCTTAATCATTGAATCTCAAAGTGATCTAAACTCAGGGTTCTTAACTGGGAGGCTATAAACTTGGTTTCTTTTTTTAAATATTTTTATAACAAAATTTCAATATAATTTGTTTTACTTACTTGTATTCCTATGCATTTTATTTTATGCTTTTAGGAACATGAGTCTGGGAATAGGTCCCTACGTTGGACCTGTTCTCACTACCTAATACACCTTATGATACATGGTTATGGAGCTTTTCTCTGCTTCCAGCTTCTAGCTTCAGCTCAAGTTTTGACTGTGGTGCTCTCTCTTCTTCATGTGAAGAATGTGCTCTGTCATGTTCTTTCAGTTGAAATTACCAAAGTTTTCCACAGTTCTTTCAGAGCAGCAGCCCTCAACCAAGAACCATCAAAAATCCTCCTCAGGGGAAATAGGAGTGGCTTATTTGTTCTCAGTACTTTGGCTAAAAGAAGTTTTTCACCTCTAGGAAATTTCTGTTTGCTCTCCTGTGCAAATGAGTTGGGGATAGGAAGTGGGAGGAAGAGGCACAGAGCCAAAACTAAGCCTAGAGGACAAGGTTATTATTTGACGTCCCCTTCCCCCAGCTACATTCCTGCCTTTTATATGTGTGCATATGTGTGTATTCACGTGTGTGTATGCATGTAAGTATATATACACATAAATATAGCTGGCTGTGTATGTACTGCTTGCATGTACAAGTATGTATGTGTGTATGTTTAGAAACATAAATAGAAGTGGGATCTAAAGTATTATCTAGTTCATCTGATTCCTAGTTCCAGAATCATAGAATATCAGAGATTGAAGAGACCTTAGAGGCCCTCTAGCCCAGCCTATTATGTGACTGAATAAGAATTTCTCTTCAGTATATGTCATGTGTACATCTGGCCTTTGCCTGAAGGCCTTAAGTGAATGAAAACCACTACTTTCTGAAGCAACCTGTTCTACTCTCTGATAGCACTAAGTATTAGGAAGTTTTTCTTTACATCAAACCCAAATCTGTCTCTCAGCAATTTAATACATCACTCTTATGTCTGCCTTCTTGGGCCAAAGCAAACAAGGATAGTCCTGCTTCTATACGACAGGCCTTCAAATTCTTGAAGAGAGCTATCATGCCACCACCCACCCAAGTCTTCTTTTCTTCAAGCTAAACATCCCTAGTTCCTTCAACCAATTTTTATATGACTTTTTCCTCAGGCTTTTTGCCATCCTAATTACACCCTTTTCTGAATGTGCTTCAGCTTTTCAATGTCCTTCCTAAAATGCCGTACCCAGTATTGAACACAATATTCATTTACTATGCTTAAGAATAATTATAATAATTGAAACCAAACTTGGAAGGAAAAAAAAGATTGAAAGATACTAGCTGAATTAAAATGAGCAGACAAATCTATAGTTACCAGAAAAAAAGCTAATCATTCTAACATTTATAAGGTAAAAGATATATAGTTAAAATCATTTAACTTTTTTAGTTTAAGGAGCTCCACTTCTAAACCAAAGAAGTGTTCCCTCTGATATTGATAAACAGCCAATTTGTCTCTTTAGCCTTGCCAGCAAGTATGCAGCCAAAGCAAGCTAGAGCACAGGAAAATGAATCAAGAACTCCAGGCTGAATAATTCTGAGGGGCTGGAGTGTGAGATTCACTCATTATATTATCAAAGACTCGGTTCTATATATAAATACATTGTATATCTCCGCTTCACTATATGACTATGTTTAGATTCTAGAAGAAGGAAACACTGCATTCTTAGTGACCTTACCCTAATTCTTCATATCAATTAGTACTCTGTAGAGGAGAAAAAAGGAAGTGTTGTCCAGAAGGCCAAGATTTGCTGTAGGGTCCCAGTTCTTTGATATCAGGTCACCTTACGAAACTTCGAGTAAGTAGTAAGTTGACCTACCAGACCACAATGAGTATACCAGATATATTAGGCAGAGTTAAAATAGCTCATGATCATGCTGAATTGTCCTTTGGCATCATTCTGATTCTGTCAACATTCTCCTTGACATCCCAAGAGCACTTGAATCATTCATGAAAAGAAAAAAATGTTTAGCCTTGTCAACTAAGGCTGAGAAACAGATAGCAAGTGTTAACAAGAGATATCAATTAATCATTTCACTGAGTCAAGAGCTGTAATACATGCCTATAATCCTAACTACTGGGAAGTTAAAATGAGTAGAACTCTTGAGCTTAGGAATTCTAAGCTGCAGCAAGCTAAACCAATAGAGTATACTCACTAAGTTCAATATCAGTCTCGTGATACCCTAGGAGCAGGTGGTATACCAGGTTGCCTAAGGAGGGAAGCATCAGCCCAAAGCAAAGTTCCTGTGCTAGTCAGAGTGAGGACAGGCAGGCGAGTAGCCTAAATTCTTCCATCCTGAGCTATTAAATCCAGACAGGAAGACTGAGTCATTAAAATAATAATATTAACAATTTCACTGAAGTCAAATCTCCTTACTTGCTAAGTTGACCAATGAGTTTGGTTTTTCTTTGTTTCTTTTCAGAAGGGAAGTCTTATATCTTCTGTGTATATATTTTGTTTTTACTTTTCTGTGTACAGGCTTTCCCTCCCCAGACCTTTCCACCTACCCACACTGGAAAAAAAAAATATCAGCTAATTCAGAGAAGAAACTGTTTTGTTTTGTCTTTGTATCCCCACATCTTTGTGCCAGAAGGCACAAAGTAAACACTTAAAAATGCTTGTTGATTGATTAACTGATTGCTTCTCCCCATGGAACCAACAGAGTTCAATTCTGGTCTACCTAGACAACATTTCTATTGTGCAGTTTCCAAAAGAAATTGGACAGGGAGTAAGGCAAATCCAGAGAGCATGTTGGCACAATAATTCTTATATGATATTCTCCAATTCTGTCACGTTACTCTGATTAGCCTTGATTTAAGTAATATAGCTAACAGATGTTTCCTTATAGTGTGGCTGCAAGAAATGGACTTGTCACTTTCTAACACAATCGAAGAGATGGGAAAAGGGAAAAGAAGGAAATTAATCCCATTCTCCCTCAGAAGGGAGCATAGGTAATGTCCCAGTCACATAAGAATCAAGCTTGATAAAGCAGAAAAAATAGGTGTAATATTTTATTCACTTTTCCTTTTCTTCAATCACCTCAGTTCTTCCATCAATCAAAAAAAGGAGCAAGCTGCCATCAGCTTGCATTGGCCTGGCCAATATGCACATGCCCAGGCAAAGCACATGGAACACTTGCACACTGGTACCACAAGAAAGACCCTGTGCTATATGGATCATCACCCAGCCAACAAATCAATTGGCACCTACATCTCCCCCCTTGATACTGCCCAGTAAATCCCTCAAGACTTAGAGAGTCAATATTGAGCTTCCACATATATTTAGTTGATAATCCAGAATGGCCTAGATACAGCAGAGTGCATTAATTAGGAAACTGATTTAGGAAGTGATTTTTACTTTTCCTCTATGGTCAGTGTAGTGGTTTTCTATTTGGTAGTTCTTCTGAGTGGCTTTAACTTGAAATCTATTTTAATTGCAAAAGATGGATTAATAATAGCTAGCATTTACAAGTAGATTGATAGATATAGATATAGATATAGATATAGATATAGATATAGATATAGATATAGATATAGATATAGATATAACTTTAAGGCAGCTAGGTGGCACGTTGAGTAGAAGGCCAGGCTTGGAGTCGGGAAAACTCATGTTCCTGGGTTCAAATCTCTCTTCAGACATTTGCTAGTCGTGTGACCCTGGGTAAGTCACTTAACCCTGTTTGCCTGTTCCCTTGTCTGTAAATGAGCTGGAGAAGGAAATGGCAAACCACTGCAGTGTCTTTGCCAAGAAAACCCCAAATGGGGTCACAAAGAGTCAGACAGACTGAATAACAATAAAACTTTAAGGTTTACAAAGCACTTTAACACATTATCTCATTTGATCCTCACAACAATCCTGTGAAATGGATGCTATCATTATCACCATTTTACAGATAAGATAACTGAGGCTGAGAGAGATTAAGTTACTTGTCCAAGGTCATACAACCAATAAACGTCTGAGGCAGGATGCAAACTCAGGTGTTTCTGACTCAGTCCAGTTCTCTCTCTCCACTGTGCCACGTAGTTACCTCATTAAAGCTAAATTAAATTAAACTCAGTATCCGTTGTATTTCCTTAACATTGTTACTGTATAAATAAGTGTAAAGAAATATCTATTTCAAAAGAGCTCTCTGAACTGAAAGTCTTGACAAAAGTGATTGCTTTTAAAATCTTACTATGGTATAGTTCTTCTTTGAACAATGAACATTAAATACAATTGCTACAATTTTTTCATATTTGTACCTGAGATCATCCTTAGTAACCTTCTTTCTTCTGATCAATTTCAAGGTATATCAATGCCTGTTCCAGTCATTGGCCTACAAGATGACTCCAAAGTCTTTAAAGAAGAGAGCTGCTTACTGGCTGATGAGAACTTTGTCCTGATTGGCTCTTTTGTGGCCTTCTTCATCCCCTTAGCCATTATGGTGATCACCTACTTTTTAACAATAAAGACACTTCAGAAAGAAGCCACTTTATGTGTGAATGATGTTGGCACAAAGAACAAATTGTCATCTTTCAGCTTCCTCCCTCAAAGTTCCCTGTCTTCAGAAAAACTCTTCCAGCGTTCCTTGCACAAGGAACCTGTGTCTTATGGAAGGAGAACTATGCAGTCTATCAGCAATGAACAAAAGGCTTCTAAAGTCCTTGGTATTGTTTTCTTCCTGTTTGTTGTAATGTGGTGCCCCTTCTTCATCACCAACGTGATGGCAGTCATCTGCAAGAAGTCATGCAATGAAAATATCATTGGAATTCTACTGAATGTATTTGTTTGGATTGGTTACCTCTCTTCTGCTGTCAATCCATTAGTGTATACACTGTTCAATAAAACTTACCGGTCTGCTTTTTCTCGTTATATCCAGTGTCAGTACAAGGAGAACAAGAAACCTCTTCAATTGATTTTAGTAAACACCATACCTGCGTTAGCTTACAATTCTAGGCAAGTCCAAATGACAGAGAAGGATGAAAAGAAAGACTCTGAGGTAACGGATAAAGACTACACTGGGATTGATATTGGAATACACAATTTAGATAATTCACCCAAGGACAGTGTCATCCCCGTGAATGAAAAGGTTAGTTCTGTGTGATCACACCAGACGGTGAGTGGCTACTATGGCAACCATGGAGTACACACTGAGAAAGTTTTTACCTAACTGAAAAGAGAGAAAGACTTGGAAAAATTAGGCCAGTCTAATAGACCCATCAATAGTATCAACATATTCCTCATATTATTCTGTCAATGGAAAGCAGAGTTAAATACTATAAAAATTGCATCTTTTTAAAAAAAATAAAAGAAATTCATAAAGAATTTCAGCTATTTTAAGCATAGCCTTTACTAAACTTATTTTTTAACATCTTAAAAAATATATTTCTTAAAGGCAAATACCATTTATGGTATAATTTTAATGATGGCCACAAATAAATCAATTTTGATATTTTACTTTTGAAAATGAAAACTATGCTACTGTGTCATTTATTGACAGCATAGGATTGAATTAGTTACTTTCTGGTATAATTATTAATAAAAAGAAATTTGAAGATAATGAATATTTTTAGAACCTTTGGAATAAAGGATAATGTTAATTAATCTGTCAACATATATACTTTGAAAAAAAACTACCCAGGGTACTTGTCTTATAATAATAATAACTGTATTGATGAAATAATTACATAGAAAATTTGGTAATATTTTATTAATACTATTTATTCAAATGCCATTCTAAAATATAAGTGAGCTCTCTGCTATTTACCATATGCTGCATTTCAAGTTAATTTTCCTCAGAAGTTGTAAAATGTTATTCAATTAACACTACTTCCAATTCCTTTAAAAAAAAAATCTTTGCTTTATTCTGAATGTCTCCTGTGTCCTCATGCTAGATTTTGGATATATCATTGAAAGGACTTATTCGTACTACCAAATAGATTTATACAAATTGTTTTTATAAAAGATTACTCTTAATGTATCCTTTGATTTTTCTCTGATGCTATGTCTTCATGACAACAACAAAAATGTTTTGGAAATGAATCAGAGCAGATGATTCTTGACAACAACATCTGAGGCCATGTCTAAGATCATGCCATATTGGATGTGTTCAGTCATTACAGCTGTCTTTATAATCAATACTAATCAGTAGAAATGAGCCTATTTATGTTAGTCATTAAAACAGCAGAAATTAAAGAGAATTGATGCCACCTTAAGTTAATTTCACATACATTAACAAAAAGGTAACCTGGAAATCAGTTTCACCCCCGTTTTGGTTTCTTTTTCCCACTCCCACCCACCCCCCCAAAAAAAAGTTGCTACTGGTACATTGAGGGGAATCCTATAAACCAAAACCTACTGATTAGTCATTAAAGCATTAGGTTCACATTCTGCCTTATTTTTAATACCCTGGCTACTGGCTCCAGATAGAAAACCAAAGCAAGGAAGGAGAAAATATCTTTGACCAAACAATAGAGTAACATTTGAAAGCAGTGGTCTTGTATAGGAAGCATCATGTTGTATTTGAAAGAGTTCTACATTTGGAGACAAAGGACATGAGTTCAATCCTGGATTTTCCATTTGCCATTGACATAATTATTAGTAGGTCACCTAACCTCTTTTGGCCTTAGCTTTCCCATTTGCAAAATGGACTATTGAATTCAACAAGTATTAAGCGTCTGGGATTACAACAATACAAAACATTACTTTGCCTGGAAGAAATGTCATTGTACTGTAGAGGTGGCAACTAAGATCCCTTCCAATTCCCAATCTGCAAAAGTCCCAATCTACATTGCTAAAAATGTAAAGTATTATTATACCTTAAGTTTTGTTCATTCTTTCTAGGAGAAAAAAAAGGCCTATTTTCACATTACTTAGTGATGCTAGGCTACATATAACGCAGAGGATCTGTTATTTCTTTAAAGAGTTTTCTGTTTTGGTTTTTTTTAAGGTCATTTAAATATAGAATATTCATACCTTGATCATGATGCTTTCAACTATTATGCTAGGTCAAATAGCACTGTGATTGCTGTTGAAATAGGATGATATGTGATTACCAACAGGAAGATCCCATATTGCCAATTCTGTTAAGATATAAAGAATTACTCTCTCCCCACCCCAACCCCAGGACTCCAGAACAGATTATTCAAATGAATTATGGGGAAGGAAGGTGAGAGAATTTCTGGGGGTTTTTCATTTCTGTAATTTACAGCTGCTTTAAGGATAAATTCAGCACTTATGTCCTACCAGATATATTGCTGACTGAAGTAATGGTAGAGTAACTCAAAAGCTAGAATATTTAGTATGCAGTTGATATCAAACCTGTGTTTGAACTGAACTTATTTTTTAATGGTTATGTAGATGTATTGGATAAAGTTCAAATGCTACCAAACTTCTTGTTTAATGTATTTTGCCTTAGTTTGTGATGCTGCTCATCTCTTTATGTATATTATAGAAATGGAATTCCTACCCCCATATAACCTATTTTGAATTGAATGTGCATAATTATTGCCTGACAGCTACCTGACAACTGTATAGATATTATTAATGTTCATCAGTGTGTTTCTCACTTTCTCCACGAAGTATACATCTTTTATTATGTATATATAGATAAAGATGGCTATGTATATATGTATATACACAGATATGTTCAAACAGTTGATTCAATATTTATATATTTATATGGAGGAAGAGAGAGAAACTAATTAAAACAAATTGTATTTATATGCATATATATATATATACACATATGGGCATGTTTGTATTTTGTATATTTCAATGTGAAACTGTGTTCTAAGATTTTTAATATATCCCTTGACTGTCACAGCAGATTAAAGTGATACAGTGCCAGCAAGCTTCTTTATAAACTGGAAGTTTGTCTTAAATAATTTGGGAACTCAAGGTTAATATAATTGTGATGGAAATGAAAGAATATAGTTGCATATGTATTTATATGTATGTGTGTATTTAAACACACATACATATATATGTACAAATATATATATGTGTGTATGTCAATTCTTCAAGCATCTGTGATTCCATGGCTCTGGGTGCTCCCTCCACCAACACAGATTGACAGCAACCTTTTTATATCTTGATAAGTGTGTCTTTGTCAATTGCCATGACATTTGTCACCTGGTGGCCAGCCTGCTAGGCTGGACCTTGGAGGAGAAACATATGGTCCCTTGCTTGTCCTGAACTCAATGCATTTTCATTTTACAAGCATCTGCCAGAGATTGCTCTCCCCTGGAGTAGGCACTGAGAACCATGGTGGTTCACTCTACACCATAATAAGGCATTGAGGAAGAACTACTGTGGAGGAGGTTACACATAAACATAGGTGTTTGGTTTATTGGTCTTAGATAAACCAAAACCTTAAGCACTTTATAATCTCAGTCTGGGGTTTTCCTGACTACTTTATCTTTTCCAGTGAATTTTTATTTTCCACAAAGATGTGGACTCTTTGGATAACTGATAGATCTTGAAAGACTGACTTTAAAGGATTCACTCAAGCAATAGTATTATTCAGATTATCAAGTTTGTTTGGTTTTTTTTTTCCTTTAATAAAACTCATATGGTAAATCCTTGTAACATGAGGTAAAAGGATAAATGCCATTACCATCTCAATGAAAGTTCTCAGGAGCAGAATACGTATATTTAATCTGCTTGACCACAGTGCCATCTCATGGTCATTTTAAAAAGTGCTATTCTAGCCAACCAAGTTACTTACTCTGCTGCTTTTAGCAAATGGTGCTGTTGCCGTTTTGTGCGTCACTGGAAAGTATTCATAAAGCATTGAATTATTCTGTATGATATGATATGCAACAGGTACAGTGCAAATTATTTTGTGTTATGGAGTGTGATTAAAGCAAATGTAGGATTTCAAGGAATGACTGTAAATAAACCATACTTGAAAGTGAATGAATAGCAGTGCTGTGTGTGTCTATAGTGTGTCGGTACAAGGAAGACTGTGAAGAAGTCATAGGAGTATGAAGATTCAACCTGCTTGATTTGCCCTGTGTCCCAGATTTGGAGTCAGAAGACTTGGATTCAAATTCTGCTTCAGCCACTGTGGAACCTTGGTCACTGTAATTCGCCTCTCTGGACCTCACTTTCCTTATTCATATAAGAGGGAGTTCTACTCAATTTCCCCTAAGTTCTCTCCTACTCCTAAACTTATGATTCTATGATCTTAATTTTCTTTTTTTCTTAATTGCAAAACATTTATTAAGCTCCCTGTGTCATGTGGAAGAAATATTAAAATGGATCTTAAAAATTCACATTATCATTGTTACTATTACTCCATTATCACCTGACTGACAAAAGTAGGTGATAGTTGCAATATTAAATTAAGTGATTATTAATCATCTACTGTGTACCCCCAATGTACTCTACATGACAAGAACATGGAACAGTATTCAACTCATTATACTTGGAACTAAGTATATGAATCAAATAAAATGGAATCAAGAGTCCTCAACTCTTTAACTTTAGTTGTGTGACCTTTAGTTGTGCAAATCACCCAATCTCTCTTATCTTCATCTTCCTCATCTAAAAAAATAGGCTTAATATTTGCTCCAACCACCTCATAGAGATGACTGGAGGATCAAGTAATATAATACTTTAAGGTTCCTGAAGGATCTTAATATTTGGAGAGCCATGAAACCCTGTTCTTGTTGTCCTACTGGAGACAGGAATAAAAGTCACACCCCTGCTTATCTAATTTATTGCTATATCTATCTCATCATCTCTTAGAAAATGCAGCTAATCAGAGCTAGCAATAGAGAGGTAAGTTAGACAGCCTTTATAACATAGCATGAGGGATGCTTTTCAATGTTAATTTTAATAAATGAGTATATTTTAAATCCAGAAAATTCCCCTGTCACATTTAGGTATTGATTTTATAGAAGAGTCAAGTGCAATTTTTAATTGCTGCCTAGAGTACCCAAATGTCTTGTCATGGCTCTGCAAATGACATTCTCCAATCCAAATGTTTGAGCATTATATTTATGCACACAAACCAACATGAAAAAATGAGGCAATTATCTGTACTTGTTTTTGTCCTAGACTTGTGAGTACACTGGTTAAAGAAGTTCTGGTTAAAAAAAAACAAAAAACTTTTTACCAATGTAGAGTCTTAGAAAGTTGAGTAGGGCCTTGATTTATTTGCCTGGGGTCACACAGTCAGTATATGCACATAAATTTTAAAAGTATATTTATTTGAAATATCCTGGCATATTTCAACCCAAAATGGGAGGAAG